AAAAAACCCTTATAAATATATATATATATATATATATTCTTTAAACTTCAGTTTTAAAGAACAGTAAAATACTCTGGACTATTACTCTGGACTAAACTATTTAGAAACGGTCCAGCTGATCTTCCGCATATCCTCTTATGAGGAAGCACAGTGATGTGGGAAGACTATCACTGCATTTCCCCATAAAAATAAAACTTAATAGTCACATTAAGTGCTGCAGTTAAGAATCCTTGATTTCAATAGCACTATATTGTGCTGCATTAAGCTCCTTGGGAAGGCATGAACATAAAAGAGGTAAGGATCCTACCACCTGAGACAGGCCCACTCACTGCAAAACATATAAATACCTTCTATAACAGAAACTCACCTTTCACAAGGCTGAAATCTATCTAGCAAGACTCAAAAGTACTGAAAAAATATTAAAATATATGCATCACTGTGCATCACCCTTCTCTTTAATGAGGGAGACATTCTATCAGGGATTGGATTACACAGCAGAAGACTGAATTCCTCTTTGATATGCACATCTTATGAACCAGGATAGTTGCCTCACACCCTTCATGAAATAAGGTATTCCACACACACAGGGAGACGTGAACACAAAAAGGCTAGGGAGAACTGAATAAAGTGGAACAAACACGTTACAAGCAATTCATCTTGCAGAATATGGACACCCTCACCCCTTCCTGGAAGCCAATCGTAACTTTTTTTTTTTTTTGGCTCCAGCATGAAGCAACAAGTAGCCAGAACTTCAGCTGGGAAGCTATGTTACAGAACTTACCGACTATTCCCTGACATATTCCCAAAGTTCTTAGTACAGTTTATTTCTAAATGAGTACAAAACCAACAGAAACACTTTTGGTGAATATTATACATTTCCAAAGGTTGTTTTATTATGAGCTTACAAAGGTGAAAAGACAGCAAAATGTTTTAGTACTTTTCATGGTGTAGGAGCAGTTAGTAAGCCCCCTCCCATTTGCAGATTACTAATGGGCTAGCTCATATAGAAAGGTCGTTTTAATTTTCTAAATTCATGAAGTTCACTTAAGACACTACCAAGGCTTTGGAAAAACATGCCAAAACTATCAAAATTAAATGCTTTACAACTTTATTTCTGTGCAGTTCCATAGTGTCATTGTTTAACTAAGGTGAGGAAGATAAAGACAAATGAAGGGACAGAAAGCCTCACTTATTTAATGGAAAAATATACTGTTTGGCTTATGGAATAAAACAAGATCAGCCTTTCCATGCCAGCTCATTGTAAAATAACGAGCTTCAGTTTTGAGCACTACGGAACGAGCAGCTTCGTAGCAGCATTAATAATAATAAAGTATCTCAAATACAGAGGAGTCTGAAGAGGCCAATTTTTAATGCATTAAATAGATTTGGGGGGGATTTTTTGGTCTGTTTTTTAAACAGAGTCAAAGAGAATGCAGTTCTCATCATATACCTATAGATACACATCCAGTCAGACAGCTCCACAGGGTACTAAGCTACATATGTAGATAACAGGACAACCCTTCCAAGTTTGATTTGAGAGGCTTTTACACATATACATAGGCCTTTGCAGTTCTAAATGTTTCAGGTGTAAATAAAACTTGTTTTTCTCCCCATTACTGAATTTCACTGCAGAGATCAAGCTGCATAAAATTGGACTCTTCTGCACGCACATCTAGGAAGTTAGGTTAAAACTGGGAGAATACCATGCCCTCATTTCACATGACCTCTTCCAGAAAAATCATTGTTTCAACTTGAAAACTACTAGAAAGAAGTAGCTTCAAACAACTGACTAAGAATGGGTGAGAGAGAGGAAAAAAAATGTATTTTTAATATACTTTATGTATTTATGTTGTGCTTATATTGCTTTTATACATTTATGTGTATGTGTGTACATACATAGGCCTCTATATGTGTGTGTGTATATGAGTGTGCATATATATATATAAATATACATGGATGGATATATGTGTATATATATATAAAAATAAAACTTTTCAGATAGAAATTAGTTATGTACTGAAGTCCTATGTGCTAGAACTGCAAGAAACACATACTAGGTGGATATCAACCAAGATTTGCTTTGAAAAATAAATAAACCTGAGTGAAATTTTTCATTTAGTTTTAAAGGAAAACAAAGTTACTTTTGGTAAGAATCCCTAAATTAAAGTCTAAAACTCAGCTGAGAAATGCATAAACTTAAAGTTAAGCTTTCACCCACTATATCGCATTAAAACAATAAAAAATATGAATACTTTCTCATCTGATAGAAATGCATAGCTTCCTAGAATTACTATATATACACACTATTAATCAACTTGTTAAAATTTCATGCTGGAAGTAAAAATATTTTAAGAGCAAGAAGGACAACACTAAAAAAATCCTTGAATGAATGCAAAAAGGTCCTACAAAGCCTGAACATACCCAAAAGCTAGGTCAAGCAGGGCTTCAAGTCTTATTCATGCATTAGCTAGAAACAATAACAAATATTTAAATTGAGTTTCTGGAAGATGGTAGATTTTCCTTATCAAATACTCCCACGGGCTTTCACTGGGATCGGTTAAACTCTTTCCTTGTACATTGAAAAGGTTGTTCAGGATTGAAAACTGTTCAAAAGTTAAAATTTTAAGTATTCCATAATTGGTTCTCTGGAGTAACGTGACCGAACAACAAACCCCCAGAGGAGATGGGCAAGGGCGAGGTGCCCAGGAAGCTCAGGGAAGAACGTAGGGTGTGACAGACCGTGGCTGTGGCACAGAAAGCTGACCATCTCAACACAAAGGGGACCAGCTTAGATAAACAGCTATGTCACATGGATCAACTGACTACATCTCTTTTGACACCACCAGTTGATCCACTCAACTGAGTGTGAATGTCTCCCTGAGTTAACCAAACCAGCATGGGAGTACTGTATACGTTTCTTAGCCCAGAGTATAACAACTGAACAACTAACAAAAGAATTTCAGAGAGAGCAACAGGCTTGAGCTGGTTTAAACCTATGTATTCCGTCCTAGTGACTGGGGACGCCCAACATCATGACGGTGAGCATATTATAGAGCTATAATATGATTCCTGCTAACGGGGATCACATTAGTAGCGTTCCCCATAATAATTAGAATTTCTTAAATTGTCAGTGTGATGGATTAAAATTCAGAATTATATTTTACTGGTTGGATTGAATTCTACCACTCAGAAGGATATTTAGTTAACGCGCAACTCCAGATAAGCCATTTGCATACATTCAGGTGGAGATTAGGTACATCATATACTGCGCTAGAGTAAGAGGATAATTTCTGAAATTAATTTTGAAACCATGTATTTAAGGACTGTATATAAAACTCCAGAAAATGATTTGCAATACAAATTTTAAATCAAGATGGTAAACTTTAATTCACTATGCAACATTAATGTTATCTCAAAATTTAATACGTTATAATGTTAACAACTGCTGTAAATAAACACTAATGAGACATTCCACAGCCCTATTTAAAAGGGCTTCAAAATATGCCTTAGGAAACAGGACAAATGTCACTTTGCAGCTTCCTTGCATTGGGTTTCATACCGATTTCTTACCAAAAACTTCACCAGCTTAAGTAGTCCACATCCCCCACACTGAGCTTCTGCTCACTCGTTCCTACTCCCACTCTGCCCTTCCATTCTGCTGACACAGTTGCTTGCCTCCTTTTCAGCTGGATTAGGTGATCAAACTGATCTGCATGATATCCTTTTCAGCTGGGCCAGTTCCTGATATGGTTCACTCTCCAGACATACAAAGTACAGCACTTCTAAAAATGAGGAGGTAACAAGTGACTAGAGGCTACTTATAGCAGCTTAAAGGATCAGTACTGCTAGATGTGAAAACATTCTCAGTCACTTTATGCTCTTTATCCTTTGGAGATAGCGTATACACTAAAGGGTCTTCATTGAGGCTTAAAATCTAAATATAAAACCACTCACTAAAAGGTTTAAAGAAGTCCTAAAGCAAGACCCACACTGCCCTTCTTAACTGGAAGCACTCCTTGTGAGCCCAAAATAAAGGAAAGTAAGAAGAGAAAAAGAAAAAAAAAAAGTCTGCTAACACTTGTTCTCTTACAGCAAATGGATATCTTCACTGAACACAGAAAACATTCAAAAGTTTGCAAAATTACATTCCAAACATACTAGAAAATAATGCACACACAGAGTAATTCATTGAGAAGTGGGCTTACCCAAAGAACAGTAGTGGTGTCTCATACCACTCTTGGTTTGTCAAATCTACCTTAATCTACACAGTGAAAAGTGGGATTAAAACCTCCTCCAATATTTTTAAATATTTTGAAACCTTTTCCACGGTTGCAATAAGGTATTCTCAGTATGAAACATAACACAATATAAGCCTTACCAGGGCTTAAGAGAACATATCATGACGGACGTGTTAGTGTTGCAATATTTAAGAGGCAACATGCACAACAAAACATCAACATAACAATGTACAGTATCCCTTTTCTTAATTTCGTACCATTTTATGAGTATATTTTCTCCCGTTAATAAGCATTGACATATAGAACTCACAAACCTGGGTTATAGATCTTTTTAAAAAAAAAAAAAAAGGAGGGGGGTTTTAGTTCTTAAAACGTCCAGCGTACTGCATGAGCAAAACACCTCTGGAATATAACATGGCTAGGTGTTTCTTCCAGTCATTAAAAAAATTGCATCTTCAGTGTTTACAAATAAACTAAATGCTGTGCCTATTTGAATCCTGAAGGCTTTTCTTCCAGAAAGAGTGTGTGATTTGGTGAAAATCACAGATTTCTATACAAATTCTGTCAGAGTAATAAGCAGCTAATGCAATGAAGTAAGAATTATAGTCAAATTAGTAAGTAATTATAGTCAAACAAGAAGAAGTAAGAAGTAAGTCAAACAAGATGAAGTAAGAATTATAGTCAAACAGTCAAATTTTCTGACTGGATTGAAAGAAACTAAGTCGGTTCATCTTTGATAGCCCACACAGAATACTCCTGCATCCAAACTTTGCAGAAGAGGAGAGCGAAGAGGAGAGCGAAGAGGAGAGCGAAGAGGAGAGCGAGCAAACAGAAAAGGATGAGAGCGAAGAGGAGAGCGAAGAGGAGAGCGAAGAGGAGAGCGAAGAGGAGAGCGAAGAGGAGAGCGAAGAGGAGAGCGAAGAGGAGAGCGAAGAGGAGAGCGAAGAGGAGAGCGAAGAGGAGAGCGAAGAGGAGAGCGAAGAGGAGAGCGAAGAGGAGAGCGAAGAGGAGAGCGAAGAGGAGAGCGAAGAGGAGAGCGAGCAAACAGAAAAGGATGTTAATTTTGCATCTCAAATATTGTTCCACCAGCATTTGCAAAAGTCAAGAATGAAAACACATCCATACCTGTTCAAATACTGAGATCATCTCACTATTAAAAAAAACAAGATAAACGTGGATCAAGAAAGGTTTATCTAATCATTAGATCAATGTTTACTCTTTCAGAAAAGGGATAGTGCATCTCTAACACATAGGTAGCCTTGAATAAATACAAACCCTGATAAAAAGAAAGCAGCATGCCAGATATCTCTGAAGACAGCGCCAATACTGTAAGAGGTGCTTGTACCGTAGCTCTGCACTGTTCCCTCCTGTGTGTTATCTGTGGTACTAGAGCCATCTCCTTCCCTATGTACTTCCAAATGTGCTGCTCTCCTTAATTTCCTTCATCAGAAGAGATTAAAATTGGAAGGTAGCTTTGTAAGTGCCATCTACTAGTTCTATAAGGTGTTCAGCAGTTTTAAGCATGCAAAAACAAGCAGTATTTCAAAATACTTTGCCTCATTTAATAAAACTAAGCATAGCAATTACTTATTTTCATAACCCTTAAGCCAAAATATGTTTCAGCTGATCATCAGAGGCTTAAGCCTGCAAAATACAAAAAACTTACTGCAGGTTTTCCCATTTTAATGGGACAAACTCACTGTAGCAAAACATAGTCAATTAAGTGCTAAAAGACTTGCTTTCTATGCCTCCAACTGCATCCTTCTTTAATGTACATTGCCCACAAAGAACATTAATTAGTACTCTATGAAGTTCTAACACTAAATTTGCAATAATATCAATACTTTCACTCCACTAATACTCAGTTACAAGCTATTCTGTGGCAAAATGTCAGATTCAATGCATTAAAAGCTAAATAAGTCAATGCTTTAAAGTTAGTTGAGCACAACATTTAAATAGGCAAATTAAGAGTTTAAGTGCCAATTTTAAAATTTCAGATAAAAATAGAGCATCAACTTCTCATCTCTTGCAAAGCACTGACTGCAAACTCCTACAATTTTTCATGCACATTCTTCAGAACAGTTTCACAATCCTAAATTATAATTTTTTTTTAATACAGACTATACCTTCTTCTTTTGCCCCCTGTGCTGGGAGGTGGCTTAGGTGTTCGTGTTGAAACAATCTGACAATGTACAGTTCCAAGTAGCAACATTAGCCATACTGGCCCAATTACTTCAGTTAGAGGTATATTATGTGGGCTCCGGGCTGTGCAGAACAACACTACAGCAGCAACTGGAAAAGAAGGAAAATTAAGTTCAGTTCAACATTTGAATTGTCTGGAATGGCCATCTCTTTATATGGACTTTCTTAAAATCAGAAACAGTCATATGTAGTTCTTCACCTGTATTTTAAACCAACTCACGCAATCTTGGAGGAAGAAATAATAGTTGTAATGATATAGAGAGTAAGCAGGATTTAAACAGTTGCAGATTCGGTATAGAATCACTTTTTCAACTTATCTTAATACTCATCTCTCTCTCTATGACACTTGTCACAGTAGAGCCATTGCTCAAAAGAGGTGGCAGAATAAAGTAAGGGAGAAAAAAAAGCTTTCGGAAAGTTAGATGCAACGTAAAAGAGTTTTAAATTAAGGTGAAGTTTCAATAGAACAGAAAAAGAAAAAGCAAATACCACCAAGCAGCCCAGATAAACTTAGTTTTGTCTGGCCTAAAACGACACAACACAATCCAGAAAGGTAGATGAGTGTAAGAGTCATCAAACCAGGAGCAGGTTGTCCAGAAAGGCTGTAGTCTATCCATCCTTGGAGACATTCAAAACCCAACTGGACACGGCCATGAGCAACCTCCTCTAGCTGACCCTGCTTTGAGCAGGGGTTTGGACTAAGTGATCTCTAGTGGTCCCTTTTAACCTCAACTATCCTGTGATTCTCTGAAATCTTGCTTCAATTTAAACACAGCAATGACCAAGAGAGTTTATATGCTCTAGCAGAAAGTATTTTAAACTCCATCTTCCAAACACAGGACAAAACTGCTCACAAAGATAAACAGCCATGCAAGTTCAAGTATGTATTCAGTATTATATATGTATGTGTATGTATATTTTTTAGTAATGAGGAAAGATCAAAGACAAACCATGTAAATTATGAGGTAGTCCAACTGAAGTGACCAGGACTCCAACTAGTACCTGTGGCAGGAAAGGGGGCAGGTTCCAGTTCCCTAGTTAACAGCTAACTTTGTAACCCTTATGACCAGTTTCCCCTATACAATCACAGCTCTTTTTGCTCCTGCATAGAGTCCAACAAGTTCTGCAACTCAGAAATGCTTTTACAGGCTTTAGGTCAGTCCAGACACATTCAACAATCACGGGACAGATAGAAGAGGCAAACCCTCTCTTTTTCTCTGCTTAACACCTCTTGTTGTCACTCTGCATCTAAAGTTTGAAGCACTGCGTTCTGAAGCACGGGTGAGAAAAGCTACCAAGAAAAAAAAAGAAAAAAACATGAAGAAATAATTCAGGAATAGAAAGGGGAAATAATTCTCTGTTCCTAAGATCCTCATATCCCATGAGGACTTGTTTTTGTTCTTGTACCACTAAAAGTCTCACCTCTTACATCTGCTCCTAGCACAAGGAATACAAAGTACAAGTTCAACAGCTTCCACTAGTTCTCTAACAACACTCATTCAAAAATATATTTTTATACATAGTTTTGCATGTGGCTATAACATTCAAATACAAAAAATACATCACATGAAACCACCCCTAACACAGCTGATGCTTGGCTGCAACATTTTATACCAAAAAGAGATTAGACCTATTTTTAACAAGGAAATCTTTAGCAAGGGAGCTAGCCACTGTTAGAAACAGAATAAACGTGCAAAATAGGAGAATTATTTTTGATTATGGTAATCTATTTCTAGTTTCTCATCTTTTTTTTTTTTCCTAACTTAAAGCACACAAATCTCCATCATTTTGTTTTTAAGTTTAATCTTCCCTGAGTTATGCTTTATATATTAGGTTGAACACACACAGTATTTTCATTATGAGACTGAGTTTTTCCAGTATGAGGTTTCTCAGAAAGATACTATGCATCATCCAGAAACTCAATTTGTTTAAAAAACAAAAAACAAAAAACCAGTAAATTAGTACAAGGTACAGATAACGTTACCCCTTCCCTAAATAGGCTTACATGAGTTTCTCAAACATACAATTAGCTTCATAAAGTGTAAATAATAGATAACTTTGACCACTACTGTGCAACTTGGATAAGCATATATTTCTGAGTACACAGAGCGTGAAATGAATTGCAGGACCAAGCCTCCACAGCATAATCTCAAAGACTTCACTACAGTATTCCTTCTGCTATTTAAAAAAAAAAAAAATCACCACACAAAACAAAAAACAAACACATGCAGCAAAGTAGAGTGATCTAGAAGAATCCAACTTCTTCCAGAAGTTATTTATCATATCTGGACTGGTCTTTTTCTAGATGATAGTGCTTCATTTTGTGACAAAGACACTAGTGAAATTACATGAAATAAAAAGACTATATCAAAGAAAGCAACTGTACATTTCGTGACCAACAACTACTTATCTTTTCAATATTTAAAATTTTCAAATATATTTCTAAGAAATTTGAAAATACATAAATATACATATAATATACACACAGATAGATAGATAACATGCATCTTACCACAATAAGTAATTGCTGCATCACTACTGAAGTTTCTTTGGCTCATACTTAAACACTGGATAAAAACATACGCTACAATTTCACACTTAAGGTTAGTTTTCCTATCATAATATTGAAATATTTTGAAAGTAAAAATGAAGTAACAGCACAATTTAGGTGATAAGGAATCAGAACAACACTGTTTTATTTCTACGTTTATTCACTGGCTTGTTATGTGACCTTGGGCAAGAAACTCGTTTCTCTGTAGTTCTCTTATCATCCATTTTGCTAATCATACCTAGCTATACTAAAGGAAACGAATGTAAATAAAATACGGAGTTCTCTACGGTCAAGGACAGAGTTCTTTTCTGTAATTTATATAAATGTTAGGCAGAATCCCACTAAAGCTAATCAATTTCAAAGCAATAATTCCAAGTAAGGGCAGTTTATAAATCCACACAGAATACTTTAGAATTACATAAAAAGATGGTTAAGCTAAATGTCTATAATAAAAATTAAGTCATATCACTTTACAATAGTGTCCAATAACAAGTTTGACTACAGCACAAAATTTAGATTCAGCACCGAAATATGGCCACTGAAATTTTGAAGTGTTCTGTCATTAACTTTGCATAACAGATTTTTGATGTTCTGGTGACGTCTTACTGACCTTATATGAACTGAAGGATAGAAAACACTTTCAGAGTAAAGTATAAACACCACGTTAAGGTTATATATGGTAAAAAGAGGTTGGAGGGGGTTGTTTTAAATAGTTTCCAAACCAAAAAAAGTCAATTTCATTTCATTTATGTGCACATTGTAAGTCTTTCAATTTATTTTTAAAAAACAACAAAATAAATTAAAATCTGATTTTAATTCAACACAATTTAAATGACAAGAGTTTCAAACAGCTGGATTACAGACTAATAACAAGTACTACTAATTCTTTTTCAGTGTTTTTAAATCAACAACTTCATGACTGTTTTGTTCACTAAAAATGCTTTAGGGTACAGAAATCAGAACTATTCTGTCATACTACAGTCCAGACTGCATGAATTCAGGAAATAATGCATTTCAGGCATAACATTAGTAAAACATAGGTGTAGAGACACTTTGGAGGGAGGGAGGGGAGGTGAATTACACCTTATCTCTGTAATGAATTCCCTAAAGAATTTCTTTAATAAAAGCACTTGTCTCAAATGTGTACTTTTTTAGCACTTTATGAAGGCGCCAGAAACTGCACAGGGGTACGTCTGCAGTTTTTTAAGCAGTGCTTAAAAAAAACAAATTTAAGCACTGGAACATAAAAAATTACTATAACGACATGCGTTTCTCAAAATAAACTACCTAAGAACATGGCAATGAACTAAGCGTAATACATGCATCTTACTATCTATAACACTATCAAGGCGATAAAAATTACTAATATTGTAGTATCACCTAGCACAGTACAAACACACAGAAGGTTAATGTATACAATAATACTTAAGTACCTATCTCTGAAATGGGTATAGGGGAAGTTCTGATAGCAGATCACATGAATATTTGTCAATATGTTTCAAGGTTTGGAACACTGGCACTGTGAAATTGATTTTACACGTTCTCGAAGCTGCTAACATCATCACAAAGAGACACTTTCCCTTTTTTCTGTTTCTTATTTTATGTATATTTCCAAGAGATCCAGTGATTCACAACCGCAAGGACAGATGGCAAAACTGAAGAGCAGTACTGTATTATAATTGGATTTCAGCGGAAAATGTGTCCATCATTTAGCTTCTCAGTGCACTTAAATTGCTCTCAACTTTCTTCAACCCTCTATTCTGTTTCTACGGTACATGCTTCTGATACACTTAGTCTCGTGCTAGCTTTCACACTGTTAGATACTGACTCATTACACTACATTCTTCCCTTTCTGATTTTCCTCTTATGTATTATATATAAATTAAAGGGGAGCATAAAATCAGATCTCTAGAACTTGAGAATCGCTGTCCTATTTAAATATTGAGAATTGCCTTCTGTTTGACAATGGGTGCCCAAAAGTCCTTCTATAACCTAGGAAGTATAAAACTAAGATGCATACTATCCCCATGTGAAATGGGGAAATTAGCAGAAGGATAGAGGACAAATAGCCTGTTATTTGTCAGTCATTCAGGAGCATGGCTGAGATTTAACTAAAGTATAAGCCAGAAGTTTAATTGCATCTAATATGACCTGCTAACATGTGGAAGGCCACACGGAAACTGGTCAAAGATCATCCTAGCAGACTGCACACACTGTCACACTTTGGCAGGTCTGGTACTTCCTGCTTCTTGCTAAGAGCTCTTGAACTGTAAAAGTATTAGAAAGATTAAAAGCCGAAGAGCAAACACACCACCCAAGCCAAAAGGCCCCTTGACACCTCTCAGTCCCAAAATAAATTAGATAGTCCTGGAAACCTAAGTTGCATATAGCCATGACAAACTAACACTTGTGCTAAACGCTGAAGAAAGCCTTCACACAAATCCTTACATTTTCAAGATGTCCCCTTTACACACTGAAAGAAATGTTAATCCAAAGACACATGCTTGGGACTGCAAACTGTTTCAGAAAATACTAGAATGAACCGTAATAGCACAGAGTGAACCAAGTAAGATGCAGCAATTTTGAAATGGTTAAAATATGGCACTCAGTCAAAGATGATCCTGTAATCCAACTCTACCTTGGAGAAGGTACAGAACAAGCAGCCAGAAAAAGATGACCCTCGATGTCACTTGTAGCCACCACCCATAGAAGAACGGAAAGAACACAACTCTCACAATTCCTTTGCGGGTCAGAGATGTCCAAGGACTTTCAGGTTTTGCTTTAGCAAAAGCAGATCCTAAAAAAGAAAATAAAAATAAAATTTAAAAAATATTTTAAAAAACACAGAGCGAAAGAGAGTGAGTTCTTAAATAACGGTAAAAAATCTGAACATACTTCATTTGCTTTAGTTGCTGAATATCAGAATAGTTAAGATAGTGAAAAGTACCACCAGATTTAGGTAAATTAGTATACTTAACAACTGATTCTATAATTAACTGTATCTACAATCCAAAACTTGACTACCATCATGAGAAACTCCTACCAATACTTTGGTTTTTGGAATGCGTGAGTAACAACACACTGCCATTTCCTACCATGCTAACATTAATTTATTTACTTTGTTTCAGTAAGGTATCAGACACTTGATATGAAGCGACAGACAGTCACGTGAGAAATTCACATGCCTGTGCAGGCATGGCAGAGCACCAATGTGTGTAACTTGCTCCAGCCAAGTCATCCAGGAAACCGGACTAGCGTTGAGAAGTGTAGAATAGTATCACTCAAACTGAGGACTATCCCCAGGAACGGGGAAACCACTCCAGGAAAATTTCATCTTTTCCTTTCCTTCGACACCATTCTTGGTATCACTCACTTAGCCTTTTTTTTCCCCCCCCCTCGTAGGCTTCCATTTCTTCTTCCTCTTGAAAATTGCCATTGCTCTGGCAGCTACATAAAAGTGTTACGTTTACTTAGAGCTAATGGGGATGTGACTTAAATTACACCGAGGCTATTGATTGGGAAGGGCAACATACCATATGCTGTTATGTCTGCTATGCATCTCCACCTTTCTTACAAGTGGACCTGGTATTACCGAGCTCTGTGCTGATACAGGTAAAATACTGCCAGTACTGGAAGTTCTTTGATGTCAGCTTAAGACATCTCAGTAGAGCAGTCACTTATTTGAACGCTATTTACATATATGTAGTAGATCCACTATATTGAAGTCATTGTTATTTCGTATAAATATTAGGTTTTAGATCTGATGTTTCCTTACAGATCAACTGTTATTTGATTTTTTTCTTTATCTTTTATTCCCATTTTCTGAAGGTTTCATTAGTCAGAAGTCAACCAGGTACCTGCTCCAAAGAGCACTACTATAACAGTTTTTAAAATCAGCTCATTTCCTTAGTTCGTCATGTTCCATTAGATAGAACCGAGATTTTTTGCTCCTTATTTTCTTACCTGACAAATACTATTAGACACAGAACTGCTGTAACTTTAACAAGACTTTAGTTTATTAGAGATTTGAATTCAAAGTCCACTACTTGAATGGATTCAAGAGTCCATGCTGGCTATTGAGTTCACGCAAAAAAAAAAAAAACACTAAATATTTTTTCTAGCCTTTTTAAGGCAGGTGGAAAATGAAAGGAAGATATGTGGCTTTTTGCTCTTTTGTCCTTTAAAAATAGGAAAGAAATATTCAGGGCCTATATGTTGAAATTTCTGTAAAAATTACAACATTTCTTCTAGATGTCAGAAGATTTGGAAAAAAGTCTAAATGTGTAAGAATAGGAGATTTCTGAACTGTAACTCCAAAACGATGATCCATGACAATTCGTCTGTTTCTCTATTCAGAATCTAAATCTACATGTCAAAATTAAACTAAAAAACCCTTTTTAATTTTAATTTGGGATCTTCTTTAAACAATATTTCCTATTTGTCTTCTTCACAGAGTAATTATGCGTGTTCAGTTTTTTTAAATACTTCCTAATCCACTCTTGTTACATGACACAGGACAGCAGGGTTTGTTTTTGTTCATCGCCCTCAAAAATTTGAATTGCTGAGAAATTCAGCTTTTTCTAGCTCAAGACCTACCTCTTACAAGATCAACATCTATGAGGTCTGGTTTCACATGTCCCGTTTTCTTTGGTTTGTTTCTCAAACCCTGCAACATGCAAATACGATCAGAATACATTCACACAGAAAGTTCAAAAGAAAAACACTGATGTGGTCAGTAATTGGATTTAACCTATATTGCTATTAAAAATTCAGACCAGTATGTCAACTTCATAGAGATAAAGTACTGTGAAATAAATGTTCCAAGAAACGAAAAACAATAAACGCCTTTTACACACTTTACAACCTATACAAAATCTTACCAAGTACTGACCATAAGGTAGTTTTCCAAACATGATTAAGCTCTGAGCGCTTATTTCCCTTGGCTTGGTGTTATACAAACAACATATTACGCACACACTTTCAAGAATTAGTAATATATTTCCCTTAGGTTTTCATAACTTCTGCCACAAATTACTTTCCTGAATCTCTTTTCTATGTCCAATAAAGCTTCACAAAACGTGTACATTGTAACTACTTAATTCAAAAATGATAATAAACTACACTGTACGTCAAGAGCCACTAATAACAGCAAGCTCCACTATTTTAAGTGCAAAACTCTAGAAAAGGGCTGAATTTTTCTTAACTCTGGATAAAGATTAGCTGTTACAGAGGAAAGGAGCAAAAGAAAAAACACATACACATACAAAAATCAAACCAAAACACACACACACACACAAGATAAAAAACAGCAGGGAAAAAGTTTCTGTTTATTCTGTCTTTTAGAAACAATATTCTCCTTCACTGAAGAGCCAAACGCAGTCCTGCACAACTGTCAAGTTATTTTTAAAGCTAAAATGCGACACTATACTCTCAAGCTTGAGAGACAGCTGTGAGTTTATCCTGATTCCTTTAGATTTTGCTCTTAGACACATTATCCAGAATGATTCCATAGAGTGCAATTCACATAGAGTAAAAATCTAATATAAAAAAAAAAAGAAAACATCAGAACGGAATTATGTTGGAAATGGTTTAACTGTCACTGGAAATTGTTAAATTTCCAATATTGTTAGATTTCAAAAATATGTAGAAACATTTATTACTTAAATATAAGAATGACATTGAGGTGAAAGGGTAAAAATGAAAGGACCATTAATGAGAGAAAGATCAATGATATCTAGTCATATTACTCTTCATACTTTTCTTAAACCTGAGTTCAGCTGGATTTTTCACACTGATATGAAAAAGTACAACTGTTCCCAATGACATATATACAAAGTGATCACTGGATGTCTATTAGAAAAAAACAGTTTGCATGAAACTAAACAAAACATATTTAATAAAAGTAAAACATGGACAGGACAAGATCAGCTCTCAGAACGGCAAATGCAGAAAAATAGTTGTACTAGAGAATTAATAATGCATAGAGCTTCACATGGAATTTTTTTTTTTTTTTAAGGAAACAGCAATCTTAACACTGCAGCATTTTATGTGGAAGGTAAAACAAGTTCACAGTTATAATAATTATTAATTCCAGAAGTAGCTACAAATTCTTGTGAAATCTTGCATAAGCAAGCCACTCATACTTCACATAAACAAATCTAGATCTTAGAACTAAAACGTATGATATAATAATTTTTAAATGTACTTGAAAATCTAAATAAAGATTTGCATCCATCTTAGAAGAAATAAACCCTCTCCCACCCTAGTTCTATGAACAATCTACCACTGTGGCTAAAATTATATTTGTCTTAAAGACAGAATTCTGCAAAAATCAAGCCAGCAGTAGGGCATCTATCAGAGGGAAAGCACTGATGACACATTTTTAAGAAATTCCATTGTTCAAATCTCAAATCTCTTCAGTATCCATGAACTATGCAGAACGAGATCTTCTACTGCACCCAGCGAAAGAATTCCTTTCACTAAGATGCACTTTCTCCACTCTTTAATGTGTCACAGATATCCGTCACGTATGCAGAAAAGAGCAAGTTAGGGTTAACTAAAAACATATTCTTACTTTTCTCTGTGTAAGTTTCATACTGTTCAGGCCAATCCTGTTTAGCTCACATAATTTCTTTTCAGTATTGAACACATTTTTGCTACCTAATAGCAAAAATAAAGTTTAAATAAAAATGTTTAAAGGACTTAATATTGTTAAGAACTTTTTCTTGCACAAATTTTTAAATGATGCTTAATAGGGCAGCTCTAAACTATAAGTTTATATTATTGGAAATCGATTTTCTGCTCAAAAATAGCGATTTTAGTAAAGTTCACTTATAAACAGTACTGCAGTAGCTTTGAGATTAAAGCTGTAGTCTACAATACCTGAACTTAGCAGTTTGTTTCAGTGTTACCTGTATTACACAAAATTCAGTCAACACAAACTTATATTGACAGTATCAGGTCTCCTACTGTGTTTAATTTGTTGATTTTTGGACTACAGACCCAAACAAGCTGCATTTCTAAACGGCACAAGACCCTATTTGCAAGATATTATTTGAATAACGTTGTATTACATAGCAGTTATAAGGATTTCTCCTGTAATGGTGAATGGGGTTTCATGGTCACTGAAAGGACACTGAAAATAAGCAACATGTTAGGGCCTTGATTTGAAATTCCTTGTACTCATATTTGAAAGCTTTTGTTCCTCTGGTGCCTCGAGGAGAGCAATTATTGAGAAAGTCTGATTAAAAAAAAGAAAAAAGTTTTCTTGCAAGAGCTACTCTTGTTCTCAACCTAATTCCTTTTCAGTGGAGTAGAATGCTTAGCTCGTTGTTTAAAAACATTGGTAATCAAGACAATTTTTGTGCACAAGACTTCTGATTACATTAACATACAACAGCACTTACCAAAGCAATATCTTAAGCTGAACTTTGAAGTACGGTGCCTTTAAGATCTACCAGGCACCCCCAGCAACCCATGCTATCTGGCACAGCCCCAGCCACCTGGATCTCTTCCGAGTAGCCGAAGCCAGCGCAGGCTGCACGTACCACAGGAGCACTGCACAGACAGCATCAGATGCCTCTTGGCTCACTTCGTCATGCTCAGCACCATGCAGCTCTGCAGTATGCTGCAGGCTACGCTTTTGATTTTCCCTGACCCAAAGCACTTCTTGTGCCACTTCAAGGGGGCACACTGCAAAATTAGGGAGATGCGGAGGTAGAGTATCACAAAAAGATTCAAATATTCAAGTTTAGAAGCTCTTCTTGTAAAAATATCATCATCTCCGATTTAAAAGTTTATTTGCAGATTTGGAACAGAAGTCAGGAAACTTCTTAAATTAGGTCAGTTATAATTTCCACATTAATACAAACAAATCTCCCTAATGCATTCCATTTGGCTTTTTAAGTACTAGGGAGAAGGCGGAGGGGGGAACACGAAAACTGAAGTACTTTTTGCTAATGTTATGAATTAGAAATGGCTTTTAAAGTCATGCAGTAATAGTATACTACTTGTGTGCAGTATTTGAAGAAAAAAAGGTTAATTGCAAGAAAAAGTTAATGGAAGTAACTGTAACACCATGGAACACAGCATAATATACAATCCATAAAACCATTACATACAGCATTGATTCTTTTCTTCCCCCAAAACAATTTAGCCAGGTTAGATATTGATGACACTGTTAGTTAAACCAAAATGCAAAAAACACTGTTAAACTTCTTGATCGGGGGAACAAAGCCTGAAGTACTTACCAGTCTAATAAACTGTACAAAACAATGACAGCATCATAAAGGAGGAAAAGCAAACTGGAGGTATAAGGTAACTAACTGAAAGTAAAGAGAGCTCAGATAACTGAAATTAGAATTCATCATAAAGAAAAGTAAAAGATAGACAAAAGCAACAAAAAAAACTAACCAACTTTGCTTTAAGACAACCAAAAATAAGAGCAAATTGTACCAAGGTACAGAAAAAGATGCAGCACTTTAATTATGTAAAATAAACAGGGCATAACATGCCCGTTATGTTTGGTTACAGCCCAGAAATCTAATTTTATTTTACTAGTTCTAAAGAATATCACATGCATTGTAAATGACATCAGCATACACCATCATAGCATTGCTGACAACTAGCAAAAATGCTGAAATGCTATTATTACCTTTATTTCTCTTTGCTCTACAGATTTTTCCCATATTTGTTGATCATACGCACCAATCTAAGAGGAACACAAGAAATCTAAATTAGATTTCAAGAGACATTGATCAAACCAAATCAGTTTATCTTCAGTAAGGCAAGCATGAAGACAATACGTTATTTCCTCTGAGAGATTCATTTACAAAGAAATCTTTATCTTCTCCGTTCCATCGTAGCTCGACTGGATCTAGCTAGCCTGTACACTAGTTGAGAAAGAAGGGGAGAAGCAAGCAAGCAGACAGCAACAACCTCCTTGCACGAATCCAATACCTGCACTTGCACAGGTTAGCAGAGGGTAACACCACACTTGCTTCAACCTCAGATCTGGATTGCAATCTCTCATTACCAGTATTGATAAAGGACAGATCTACGGCATCAGCAATGCAGCAGATTTTTTAATTAATTCTTAAGAAAATACCCACACAAGAAGCTATTGTCATCTGTTTAGTTTATGCCACCTGCAATTTTTTATTATTTTTTTTCTGTCTCCCCCTGTATTTCCTATTCTACTTGGCCCACTTTTACAGCTATGCTGTCTTAAGCTTCATCCCTTAAGATCGCACAGTGCCAAATATGGTCTCACTGGTAATCAACTAGATTACAGGCTGGGGAAAACTCAAAACGTGGCAAGAGTACCAGGAATCAGCACTTTTCCCACTGAATCACTGCTAGTATAATATTCCAGAGAGATAGTCAAAAAACTTTTAAATAACTTTTTCTTTATATCACACTGCTAATTTTTCTGAAAAGAGGCATTATTTAAAAGCTGTCAGTTTTAGGGTTTCATAGATAAAGGCGCTATCATTAAGATGCTAGTCTATTTATTTGTGGAACTCTCTGAAAATATTAGTTTTATCTAAAAGTTTTTAACTAAAACTTGCAATTACAAGGAATCATTTTCTCCTAGGCTCTAATCTCATCAAAGTATTGTGGAAAACCTTGTATATTTATAGGAGCACAGTCAAAAAAAAAGAGGTAAAGGTTAGGAAAGACTAAAGCTTGATCCTGCAAGCACTTGTTAAAATCCTAGCACTAAGCCCGATTTGGATGAGTGAGTTCTGCCTGCCTAAATAACCATCGTTTTACTCTTTCAGATAGCTATGGTAAATTTAAGAAACTACTGTGCACTTGTTTATACAAGAAAGTTGCTCTGTTACCACCAGATATTTTGAATTAGGCCAATCTTAAGCTTCAGGAACTTACGGTGTAAGATAAAGTGACAAGAAAAGTCAATACACGAGGCAATATATTCAAGTATTGTAAGAAACGAGCAGAGATATTCAGATTGTTTGGAACTTGCAATCAGTGTTTCTAGACAATACCTGGCAACAATCTGTTTACTGTGCGGATTTTACAACCTTTCTCTCCCAGCAATTACACACACAGACACATGCTCTAACTGCGAGATGCCTGAAGTGTTATTCGTATCACCGCGTAAGTGCAACATCACTTTCTAGTCACCAGAGCAGGACAGACGCACCTAACGAGGGCAATTCATTCAAAGTCTCTTTACTGACTGTAAAGAGGGCTTACACAACCAACTGGCTTGGTCTAGACACCTAGTGGATAGGCAAGATGAACCCCAATCATTGAACAAACTTGTTTAAATTTAACCTCACTGCAAGAAAAATAAGGCTTCTCTATTCATTTCCATTTACAAATGATAACGGACATCAAAGGCCTGAGCATGAGCACATTCACCTTAAATCAGAAAACATTGTTCTGATTTGTCCTTTTCTACTTCAGTCTTGAGTTTCAAATTAGAAGGCATAACAAAAACAAACAAAAAGCATTCTTGGTCAAAAAGGACCTTATGACGAGCATAAATGCAACAAGTTTCCTACGGAAGTCAGAGTAAGCAAACACGCTCATTAGAAAAGCTAGAGTCGTGTTCTGCCCCTCCAAATTCGACCTGCCAAAAAACTTAAAATTTCTGATACCAGTAAAAGTCTAAAGCATATCTAAAATGAAAGTGAGAACGATGTAAAATATTAAGAATTTATTCTCCAAATAAGGTTATTGCACTGAATTACTCATTTTCAAATTTAATTAATATTCTCCATTTGCGAGATCTAAGCTCCCAAATGATTTCTAGCTTGCTGCATTAAAGAACTGAAAAAAATCTGCTGGTCTTGTGGTAAAAAAATAATAGCATTATGAAATACTTTGGACCTTGCACTTGAAAGAAATTGTAGACTGTGGAAAATAACGTGAGAGCCAGGCCTGTATTGGGCAGAAACAAGCACTTGCTACAATAAAAGTCATTAAAAAAGGAAGTTTAAGAGCTAACTCAATCTGGATGGCAGCCAGTAACTAAAAAGTCAGCATCTTGAATAACCACTCCACCCAGACAGTTATATTAAATTGTTCCAGCCTTTTTTTGTAAACAGATTTTAAACAGAATACCAAGTCCTCATGAAATTTACTGAAAAGAGCCCTGAGCTTTTTGTACTCCAGACTAGTGCCCTCCTCATTTCCAAAAAAGAGTTTTCTACAAAAGGTAGAAAAGGAGAAATAAGTCTGCCTCTCTCTTTATTACACAAGAAGCAAATGCGGAAGCCTGTGTTCAAATACAAGTCTAAAGCAAACTCTATATTTCTAATTCCATTCATAGCTCATACTGCTTCAGAGTTCAAAGAGCCTTTAAAAGAACATTCTTCTTTTAAACAAATAGCCCATTTGTCAAAGGAATTCTGAGAAGCACAGAAGACTTCTGAGGCAAATATAAGTTGCTTGAGTCTAAGCTTGGCTTACGTATGTTTTCCTGTAAACATTATTCTTCCTTCAAGACTAGGCAGCAGCAGCAACTGTCTCTTTACAAAGAAAGAAGAAGTAGGGATTTTTGATATTCGTATTTTTAATATTGCTCCATAAAACAATTCTGTAGGAAGTAAAATGAGAGAAAAAGATAGTTTTAACAAACATTTCCTTTCACAGTTCTGTTTTATTAGACTAGTAGATCTGGTCCATCACCCACAATCCACTTTAATTATTAAAATGCGAGCACAGGGTTATTAAATAAAGGCATATTGTTCCAAACTGAAAAGAGCTAAAGACATAGCTGCAGAGCGCAGCCAGGATTACAGTCTCTCAGAAGTTTTTTTTTTGTTTTTTTTTTGTTTTTTTTTAAATCTACCTAGTTTCATCCTTTCTTTCATGCTTTAAGAAAGCTACAGAGGCACTTTAGGGAATGACCATCCATGCGCAGCACATCAAATTAAGATCTGATATTGAATTTCCCTTTTCACAGTCTCCACAAGCATCTACACTTCTCTTGTGAGCATATCAGAAGGAAATGCATGCATGCAAAGGTATCACTATCAAGTAGCACAGTGAGTGGCACGTTTTGCTTCCCATGTTAAACCAAAATGGGTAGGACCGGCGTTACTAACAGGAAAAAGCAAGTAAAAAACATTTCAGGTGTTCAAAAAAATGCAAGATACATCCGTTGCAGAATTCTTTGAAAACAGCTTTGCAGTGACAACAAACTAAACTGTACCACATAATAATCACCAGAGAAGAGAAAAAGAACGTGTTAAACAACTGAAAAACGACACAAGTATGAATTGCATTTGAGAATGTAATTCTTGAATGAATTCAAGAAGGTAAGTTAATACCAGCAAACCTTCCCCAGTTTTAAATTATTGAGAGCACCAGTTAACTCCATCTTCAAAGAGTTTTGATTTACAACTGTTTACATCTCAATTATTTTCCATGTCAAATCTAAATATTAAACTGTCAAAATGTTTACATACAGGCTCTGGCCCTTTACTATTCATGCAGTTCTTTGATATTGTACATACCTGCAGGACACTGAAAATAAAAAAGGCTAACAGTGCAAAAGGATTAAGCTCTAAAGGCAAACAAAATGCAGGAATAACCTTCTAGAGATAAGACTTTCATGCTTCCACCATTATGCATTTAAATATACACAAAACTTACTCTAAGCTAGAGTTCCCTTAACGCAAAAGCGGCCCCAGGACTCCATAGCTGCTCAAGCTTCCAGTGCCTGGAACCCTTAATCCAATATGAAAGGCCCAAGGCAACTCAAATACCTATATACTCCTGAACCTACCAGCTGCACTCCAATTCCCTTCCCTTTAGCTGCAAGTTCTGCAGCATCATGGGTCCTCCAAAAAATTTTACGTACAAAATACAGCAGCTGAAGAACTGTCCAACTTTTAAGTGTACAGTGTGCGGCAATAAATGAGATTCTATCCATCCTATCCAAACCAGTTACCTCTAAAATGTTTGATTAGCAAGATGCCTTGCTTCAGCAAACACCTAGTAAATGAGATGAAAGTATTTGCAAAACTTAACTCTTTTTCATGCAGCTATTATAGCGTTCAGCATAGAAGGGATTACATACAAAGATTAAAAATGCCAGCTGTCTTTCACAATAGCAAAGTGTTACTTTAGGAAAAGAAGAAACGTGGATGGCTAGTTAGCAGTTCCACCTAGCCATGTTGATGGCACATCAGCTTTTTTATTTTAAGTGGTAGCAATAACTTAAAAACAAATGTTAAAACTGGTATCCCAATTAAGAACAGATGAGCTATTTGACCTCTTGGAGGGGAAAGGCCCTGCTTCAGGGAGTAACTAGCAGTGGAGAGAGCTACATAAACCCAAAAAGCTCTTGAACCTTAGGAACAAGTTTGTAACAAGCCACACACAAACACTGATCCAAAAATCTAAGCCTTGTTTGTGACACTTAGTTTTATTGGTTAAATTTAAAACCAAAATAAATCTGGTTAGATATGCTCATCAGTTCAAACTCATCAGAATTTCCAAATTATCACAATAATTTGGAACGGGTTTAAAATTTTGTTATATATATAAATATACACATACATATATATATACACAAACACACTCTCCATTTGCCAGATTTTATTTTATTTTTTGGAACTATGTAAATGGGAAAATATATCATATCCTGTTATTCCAGCTCTTTGTCTCTTACCATGAAAGTTTATTAAAAACATCAAAATCCACTGGATTCATTAAAACCCTATACATGTA